AGGCAGCGGGATATCTACACCTGGTGCTAGTGGAATTCCAGTTCGAGCTGGAGGGCCCCCTGGAATTCCCGGCGCGGAGGGCACCCTGGAATTCCCGGCACTGCGGGCGCAGGGCCCAAGGGGCAGCGGGATATCTACACCTGGTGCTACTGTGAGGGTTACATGTACAGCCGCGTTCGGTAATAGAAGGGACCTGATGAACCGCTACCGTCAGGTGCATCGCATTCGGGGCCTCTGCCACGTGTTGACGCCCTCGAACGTATGCATTCACTGCCACCAGGTATTCGGTTGTGCGTCGAACGCGGCGCGTCACCTGATGGGGGTCTTTGAGACGAGGTCACTGCTGTGCGGCAGGTCCGACTTCTCTGATATTGACGGCTGATCCGCCAGTGTCATTGGCGTGTCTGATTTGTCCACGCATCGGCTCGAGCTTGCACGATCTCTGTGTGCACCTCTGCGCGCACCCCCCGATCCAGCTGCGTCCGTTCGTGCACGGCGAGGTGCAAGGGCGACGCAGCGGGCGACGTCCAGATGCCTGGCTGGTTCAACAAGGGCCCGAAGCGCAAAGGCGAGGCGGAGGGCGACGGCAGGCCCAGGGAGGCACGGCGCGGCGCTGGCACGGGCAGCAAGAAAGACGACAAGGACGAGATGAAACAGGCGTTCAACATGATGGGCAAGCTGCTCCTCGCCAACGTGCGCGAGACGGGCGAGCTCGCGGCCTGCGTCTTCCTCAAGTACAGCGTGGGCATGGACGCGGGGTTGGTGGCCGCGTGCTGCGCGGAGGGCAACGGCGACCACAGTCGGCGCCTCCGCGAGCTGGCCAAGACCGAGGAGGTCGACTTCAAGGGCCGCGGCCCTCCGCACGTCCACATCGCGCTAGCAGCCATCAAGTGCGGGGCGACCCACGCCGTGGCGGAGGGCGAGAGCAAGGACGCCGAGATCGAGGTGCAGAAGAAGTTCAAGGCGGTCCTGAGCCAGGTGACTCAGGAGAAGGACTGGCGCCCCTTGGCGAGGGCGGTGGCCTACTTCAGGTGCAGGCCGCAGCGGAAGGAGGAGGGCAATAGGCAGTGCGCGACGCTCTACTGGAAGCTGCACCTGGACACGAAGATCGGCCAGATGCTCCAGGAGTGCCTCGAGGCCCAGGTCATCCTCGAGGGGGGGACTTCCTCCCAGGCCCTGCGCCGTGGGGCCCATTCGAGCGCGGTCTCTCGAGGTACCTGGAGCGCGGCGACAAGCCGAAGTGATGATGCAGTCAGTTAGATTCCAGCTGCTGGTGGCTAGAGGTATACTATCTTCGGACGCTCCTCTGAGGGCGGCTAGCCAACGCAGTGGTACAATCCAGACCTTTGTTTTCAAACCCAGCGATGCCTGCGGTTCCTCTGGTGCAGGTCGCACCGAGGCCACCACCGAAGACGGGGAGGGGGCGGGGTCGTGGTCGTACGGGTGGGACTGGGGGGGGGGGGGCTGGATCGATCATAATGCCTGTGCCGTGCGTGCCAGCCCAATTGGGGGTTGCGTGCCCGTGCGGGTGTTGGCCTGGCCAGTGCTGCGTGCGCAGAGTGCAGCTCGATCGCTATCGCACCGATTGCCAGTGGGTATCCGCAGATGCCATCTCAGAAGCCTCTTTCCAGCCGTAAATTGTCTCGCTTTGTTCGCATGGCAGTGGCATTGTGTTGGAGGATGTTGGCATCCACGAGCTCCGATCCGATCTTCCTCCTCCTCTTCTCCTCGTCCTCCTTTGCTTGTCTCCTCCTCCCCCCTGTTTTCCTCCTCCTCCTCTTTTCCTTCTTCTTCCTCCTCCTCCTCTTCCTCCTCCATTCCTCCTCCTCAGGAATGGTACCGAAGAAAAGCCCCACCCAAAGTCTTTTTAGGGCTATAAGGCCATGCGGCAATTGGGCTATATGGCGATGGGGCGATGGGGCTATAATGTTATGGGGCTATATGGCTATAGGGCCACTGTGCTATATGCACATAGGGTTATATGGCTATAGGACCATAGGGATGTAGGGCTATTGGGCTGTGGGGCTCTGGGGCTATGGGGCTATAGGGCTATGGCGGCCATAGGGCTATGAGGCTATAGGTCAGAGCCCCGAATCATCAGGGGTAACTCGGGTCAGGGCTAACTCGGGTTTGTTGTTCGGGATTCCGAACCCGACTTACCCCTGACCCGAGCTACCGCGGATAATTCGGGCGTCCAGAGCCCCGAATTATCAGGGGTAGTTCGGGTCAGGGCTAACTCGTGTTCCGTTTTCGGGAATCCAAGCCCGAGTTACCCCGGACCCGAGTTACCCCGGATAATTCGGGCGTCCAAATAGGTCTATGGGGCTATAGGGCGATAGTACCTTAGAGCTGTAGGGCGATAGGGATATAGAGCTATGGGGCTATAGGGCTATAGGGATACAGGCATATGGAGCCATAGGGCTATAGGGCAACAGGATTTAGGGCTATAAGGGTATTCGGCTATAAGGTTCTTGGGCTATAGTGATATAGGGCTATAGGGCTATAGGGCTACTGGGCTGTTGGTCGAGAGGGCTTTAGGGCTATAGGGCTATGGGGCTTTAGGGCTATTGGGCTATAGGGCTATAGGGCTATGGGTTATAGAGTTATGGGGCTATAGGGTGATAGGCTACAGGGCTATGGGGCTATAAGACTACAGGGCTATAGGGCTATCAGATTATAGTGTTATCGGGCTATAGGGCTACGGGGCTATAGGGCTATAAGGCAAAAGGGCTATGGGGCTATAGGGCTATAAGGATATAGGGCTATAAGGCACCCGGGCACCCGGGTACCTGGGCACCTGGGCACCTGGGCACCCGGTCACCCGGGCACCTGGGCGGGCCGCGGAAATCGGTGGCGACCCTCTCCTGAACATATGAATCCGCTAGGACTCCTACAGAGGCAAGCTCTGATTGGGGAATCGTTTCTCCCTGTCGCCCCCCATGCTGGTCGAAAGGGCGGGCTGGGCGTTTCGCCTGCGACTTCCTCGCCAACTGTGGCCCTGAAACACAACATTTGGCGGCAGCGGCGTCACGGATTGAGGGCGGGTGGTTTTCATCATGTGGTTTTCGCCTTAGCGCCGCGCGCATTCGTTGAACAACATTACAAGAACCTTACGGATTGAGGGCGGGCCGTTTTCAAAATGCGGTTCTCGCCTCAGCGCCGCGCGCATTCGGTTCAATTGTTTCCAAGAGTTAACGGCTTGAGGGCGGCTTCTTTTGAATATGTGTTTCTCGCTTTAGCGCCGCTCTCATTCCTCTTACAAGTTTGCGTTCGCTTCACGGATTGAAGGCGGTTTCCTTTCAAAATATGGTTTCCGCCTCAGCGCCGCGCTCGGTCGTTCTAAAAATCAGTAGAAGTTCCATTCATTCTCATGGCGAGCGTACCGGAAATTGTATGTTGGACCGACTCATGATTTACAGGGCGGCGCAACATCTACATTGCTTCGTTGCGTAGGAGTGGTGTTCGGGCGCGATTCAGGATCGCAAGAACTTCGCAACCAAGTTAACTCATGGTGTCGTAGTCCTTGGAATGGTGTTTGGACACGTTTCAGGTTTGTTGAACGGTTGTCCCCCGGTGGGGCAATTCTTTCAGTGGAAGTGAACCCTTGTATGGAGCCTATGAAGAGGGAGTTTGGAGGGAGGGTAAATTCCAACATCGCTGATGAGTCTCAGGGTGACAGTGGTCCTCCTCTTCCTCTTCTCGCTCCTCCTCCTTCTCCTCCTTCTCCTCCTTCTCCTCCTCCTCCTCCTCCTCCTCCTTCCCCTCCTCCTCCCTCCTCCCCCTCATCTCCCCTTGGAAATTGCTCTGGAAACCGACCACAACTCAGTCGCCGTGTGGGCACCCATCATACTCTGGAGCCACGGATTATTCGGGCTGAGATCGTGGCCACCCTGGCTTCAGGCCCGCCCTGTTTTTTTTACACACAGGTTTCCCCGGAGTTGGGTTTTCGCCTGCATTTTTTTCCAAAATGCTGCTCTCGCTGAAGCGCCGGCCTCATTTTCGGGCCCCGCTCGTTCCGAATCGTGCTCCCGCTGCAGCGCTGGCATCATTTCTGCCGGCGCCCGGGCTGCACGCCCGAGCCGGCGCCCGGGCCGGCGCTCGAGCCAGGTCCAGAGCCGGTTCTGGCCGGCGAAGGAAAATCGAGTTCCGAGGCGGCGCCGAAAAAAGGCCATTCTAATACACATTTTCCTATTGAGAATGCTGAATTTTTGCTTCCGGCGCCCGGGATGCCTCCCGGGCCGATTCCGACGCCCAGGCCGGCGCCCGAGCCGGCGCCCGGGCCGGACGCCCGAGCCGGCGCCCAGGCCGGCGCCCGGGCCGGGTCCGGAGCCGGTTCTGGCCGGCGCCGGAAAATCGAGTTCCGAGGCGGCGCCGAAAAAAGGCCATTCCAACACAATTTTTTCTTTTGAGAATGCTGAAGCTCTGCTTCTGGCGCCCGGGACGCCTTCCCCGGAGCTAGGTTTTCGCCTGCAATTTTTCCCAAAATGCTGCTCTCGCTGAAGCGCCGGCCTCATTTTCGGGCCCCGCTCGTTCCGAATCGTGCTCTCGCTGCAGCGCTGGCCTCATTTCCGTGCTTACGCTCGTTCCGAATCGTGCTCCCGTTGCAGCGCTCGCCTCATTTCCGCGCTTCCGCTCGTTTCGACTCGTGCTCCCGCTGCAGCGCTGGCGTCATTTCCCGTGCCATGCCACGGCATGCAATGCAATGCTAGGTTGATACTACGCTTCGCGGTGCTCTTCTACGCCATGCCACGCCGTGCTCTACAATGCATCGCGTACCCTTTCGGGATCATCGCCCTGCTTGACATCCGACTGTGCGAGTAGAGACGGGATCTGCGCCATGGTAAGGGATGGGAGGGAGGGGTAGGATGTCAGATATGACGCGAGCGCACCTAACTTGATTCCCCCCCTCCCTCCCCCCTCCCTCCCTCCCTCCCTCCCCTCCCTCCCTCCCTTCCTCCCCCCCCCTTCCCCCCCTCCCTCCCGCGCTGCTCTGGCGAGAGGCGGCCCTGCGCGCGGGCGTGTGCATCACGGGCTGCACCGTGTCCTTCGCGGCGCCGCCCTCCTCGCTGGGGGCCGAGCACCGCCACGGGCCGGTCATCCTTCAGGAGGCCACCAAGGCCAGAGGGGGGGGGCTGGCTCCGTGGGGCGGGGGGGAGGGAGCCAGGAGCCACCAGTCCTGGTCGAGGTTGAGACAACCCACGACGGGAGCATTGCCGTTTTCGTACTAGTTTGTTTTGTCTCCGGGGGCCCTGGCTGGGCCCAGGGGCCATCAAAGCACGACCCAGGAGGAAACGTGGGTCCCAGGGAAGCGGTCCAGACCTCCAGGGGGTGTCCCGTGGTGTACCGTGGTGTCCCGTTGAGTGAGATCGATAGTGAGACCGATCGTGAGATCGACAGGTTTCCCGTGGTGTCCCGATAGTGAGATCGATGGTGAGATCGATGTGGTGTCCCGAGGTGTCCCGTGGTGTCCCGCGGTGTCCCGTTGAGTGAGATCGATAGTGAGATCGATAGTGAGATTGACAGGTGTCCCGTGGTGTCCCGTGGTGTCCCCTTGAGTGAGATCGATATTGAGATTGGTAATGAGATCGATACTTAGATCGATGTGTTGTCCCGAGGTGTCCCGTGATGTCCTATGGTGTTCCGTTGAGTGAGATCGGTAGTGAGATCGATAGTGAGACCGATAGTGAGATCGAGAGGTGTCCCGCGGTGTCCCGTGGTGTACCGTGGTGGCCCGTGGTGTCCTGTGGTGTCCCGTTGAGTGAGATCGATAGTGAGATCGATAGTGAGATCGACAAGTGTCCCGTGGTGTCCCATGGTGTCCCGCGGTGTCCCGTTGAGTGAGATGGATATTGAGATCCATAGTGAGATCGATAGTTAGATCGATGTGGTGTCCTGAGGTGTCCCGTGGTGTCCCGTGGTGTCCCGTGGTGTCCTATGGTGTTCCGCTGGGTGAGATCGATGGTGAGATCGATAGTGAGACCGATAGTGAGATCGAGAGGTGTCCCGCGGTATCCCGTGGTGTACCGTGGTGGCCCGTGGTGTCCCGTGGTGTCCCGTTGAGTGAGGTCGATAGAGACCGATAGTGAGATCGACAGGTGTCCCGTGGTGTCCCGTGGTGTCCCGTTGAGTGGGATCGATAGTGAGATCGATTGAGTCAGATGTTGGTTCACCCCCCCTCTCTCTCCCCCCCCCACAACCTCCTTATCACCCGAAGGGTGGTCGTATAGGTAAGGCGGAGGAGCAGAGCGAGGAGAAGGAGGAGGATGAGGAGGAGGAGGAGTAGGAGGAGGATGATGAGGAGGAACGAGGAGAGATACGAGAGGGTGGATACGGGAGGCGGGAGGAGGGATGATTGAGGAAGAGGAGGAGGAGGAGGAGGAGGAGGATGAGGAGGAGGAGGAGGGAGGAGGGAGGGAGGGAAGGGGGAGGAGGAGGAGGCGGAGGATGGGAGGAGGATGGAAGGAGGAAGAGGAGGTGGAGGAGGAGGAGGAGGAGGAGGAACAGGAGGAGGAGGAGGAGGAGGAGGAGGAGGAGGAGGAGGAGGAGGAGGAGGAGGAGGAGGGGGAGGAGAAGGAGAAGGAGGGGAAGGAGCTCGCGCATCGCTGAGAGCGGGGCCAATAGGACCGACAGGAAGCAGAAGGCGAACTTGGAGGGCGGAGGGGGTCCGCGCCTCGCCGATGGCCTGGTCGCAGTCGCTGCTCTCTTCCTACCTGCCTTTGTGCGGAAGGAGGGGGGGGCACACGGCAGGCCAAACTTCGGAGTATTCCTCTCTCATGCCCGTCGGCTTCATGATCCTTGATTGCGTCTCCCTTCGACTCTGCGCAGCCTCTGTCTCTCTCTCTCTCTCTCTTTCCCTCTCCCTCTTCCTCTCGCTCTCTCCGTCTCTCTCTCTCTCTAGTCTCGGCTCGAGAGTTGTGCTCCGGGCGAGCCCAGACGCCAAGCACACCGCATCCTGGCGTCACGCCAGGTCGTGACATCTTGGCGTCACATCCCATTTCATGTTTCTGCGCGCGCCGCAATGGTTCCACAGAGCCTTCGCCGTGTGCTTCATACGCCACCGCAGCCCAAGCCACCAGGTAAGGGCCGCCTAAAGGCAACCTTAACGAATCGGCAGGATATCAACCTCAGCCGGAAGGACGCCTGCGTCGCCGCACTCCAGAGCAGTGGCCGTGTCCACCGAGTCGTCGCTGCTTGCAACGAACTTGCTCACAAGCCTCAGTCAGATCTTGACAACATACCGACAACACCGCTCCGACCAGCGTAAGGTTAGTGGCGAGCTGACGACGCGATAATATTATACGCTACAACACGTTGCACCACTAGGAGAATCACAAGACGGACACCAGCCGTGTCTCAGCAGGGCCCAGGGCTTCGGTCGACGCCCACGAGGGCAACGGCGCCGCCCCACTCATCAGCAGTGATGCGCCAAACCGGGGCTCCCCGATCGCGCCTCTGCTTCAGTGGGCTGGCCCTGTGACTTCGCATGCCAGTAACATCCTTCGGCACCCTACTGGGGCCCAAACACCTGCTGAGGATCCTTGGGATTCCGTGGTCCTCTACCTCATCGTCAATTCTGAAAGGGGGAACTGCCGCCAGAGGACCCTGGCTAAACGCCACACCGCTGCAGCCACCTTCATACCCGACGGGTGCACCTGCCAGGGTGGAATCCAGCGCACAAGCCCAGGCGAGGCGACTGAGGACACCCCGCTGCATGGTAGCCCCCCACGTCCACCAGGACCGCAGCGCCGCCCGGCACCACGGGCTCCGCCCCCGTCCCCGCTCCTCCGTGTGCCCAGGGCGGCACCAGGGGTTCATGAGCAGGCAACGCGGCACTGTCATCGGACACGTGTGAAATCGGGCGTGTCCCTCTACAGGAGGAATATTCAATGATATCGGAGAAAAAACCATCAGGTTTTTTTTGGGCTATAGGGCTATCGGGCTATAGGGCTATAAGGCTATCGGGCTATAGGGCTATAGGGCTATCGGGCTATAGGGCTATAGGGCTATAGGACTGTGACCTATAGGGCCATAGGGCTATAGGGCTATTGGGCAATAGAGCTATATGGGCTATGGGGCTATAGGGATATAAGGCTCTTAGGGCTATAGGGGTATAAGGCTATAGGGCTATAGGGCTATAGGGCTATACGGCTATGGGGCTATAGGGCTATAGGGCTGTAGGGCTACTGGGATATTGGGCTACTGGGCTATTGGGCACCCCCGGGCACCCGGGCACCCCCGGGCACCCGGGCACCTGGGTCCGGCCACCGAAATCGGCCACGCACCTCACCGGCCACCCGGGCACCCGGGCACCGCCGGGCACCCGGGCACCCGGGCCCGGCCACCGAAATCGGCGACCAGCCTCACCTAACCCTTTAATCCGCTAGGACCCCTACAGAGGCAAGCTCTGATTGGGGAAAAATAGTCAAAACATGATATGGGGATTCTGTTTTTTGTGGTATTTTGGGGCATCTTTTGAGAATTGTGTTAGTATTTTTACTTTTTCGCCCAAAATCCCCCTGGGGACACGCCCGACTTGAGGCACGTGGGGAGAAGCAGAGTCCGTATCGGGCTGCAGCGCTGGCCAACGGCAGGTCTGCCGCCCTGCCCCCGGGCCAGCAGCGACGGCAGAGTCGCCGAGGGCGGCAGCCGCGGTGGGCACGCCTGGCCCGCTTGCGCCCACGCGGGAGCCAGTGCCGGCCGGGGCCTGGATGCGAACTTCCGGCTCCGGCAGGAGGACCAGCGACTGCGGCATCGACCGAGGATCCCTGGGACTCTGCGGTCGTCTTCCCAGCTGTCTCCTCGGCACCCGTCCCCCCGGGCGCCCAGGAAGGCCCCGAGGTACCGTGGGAAGTCGAGCCAGGGCTTGACCGCCAACCTCCGATGCCAGCACCAGCGACTGCGGCACTGACAGGGCTCACGGACTCCTTGAAGCTCAGCTCTCGGCGGCGGAAGCGCCTTACGAAGAGGCGCGAGCGCCGACGCCGAACTCCCGTCTGGCCACCCCTTCCCATTATTTCGGAGGGCGACGCCGATGACGCCCCGCAAGAGTTCATCGGCACGACCCCTCACGAGCCCCTGACCGTGGGAGCAGTTGGAAAAGGCGCCGGCGACGCCGCGCCGCGAAGATGATGCCAGTGCGGACAGGGATCGCCATTCCCTTGGCCCCATCTGTCACTTCTACGCAGCTGCGACAGGGGTGCTGGAATTGCTCATAACATTGGGAGTGATGCGCGGCACAGTTTTGTTTTTTCTTACAGTCGTGGGGCGATCGACGGTCTTAGCTTGCCTCGTCTTGTATGTTTCGCTAAAACCACTGGACCGCACTCCGCGGAGGACCACTCCAGCGCGAAAGTGGAACACATGCAACTAGGGCGCGCAAGCGCCTGATCCTCCCCGCCCTCGTGGTCGTGGCCAGCTCGCCTGGGTTCGCGCGCGCGACTGTGACGAGCAACGCAGCGAACACCAAGTCTCAGTCAACCACGCACAGTAACCAGGTACCTGAACCTGCCCAGCATGACAGAGCCGATCGCCACGGATGCCATGTCGATGTAGAGCAGTACGTCAGAAAGCAGCAGCTCGTCCCTGACGCCCGCGACCGTGGCGAGTACTTCTTCGAGTGCCACGCCATTGCACACCACGACGGACACTAGCATCTCGACGTTGACCCGCAGCGCGGCGGAGAGCGGCAGCTCTGCAACGCCGTCGACCACTGTCTTGAGCACTACGTCCCTGACCACCACGGCAGGAGCCAGCAGCGCGTCGGCGAGCACCAGCTCGACCCTGACGTGCGCCAGCGGATCGAGCAGTGCCACGAGTTCCACATCGTCGAGCTAGGCGTCACTTGCATTGGCACTTCGACGATGAGCAGCGCGTCGCTGACCGCCACGGGGGGCGCCAGCAGCGCAGCGCTGAGCAGCGCGACCGGGGGCGTCACCGCCCCGACGTGCCCCCGCAGGTCGAGCGCTGCCTCCAGTGCCGCGTCGCTGAGCGGCACGACGGGCGGTAGGATTCCGACGTTGAGCAGCTCGTTGTTGACCGCCACGGCGGTTGCTAACGGCGCGTCGTTGAGCGGCGCGACTGGGGGCACCAGCGCCCTGACCTGCACCGGCATCGTTTCGAGTGCCGCGCCGCTGAGCTTCGCGACTGGCACTGCCGTCTCGATGACAATCGCGCCTGGGAGCAGCTGTTCGACCCCGACGCCTGCGCGCGGGGCGGGTATTGTCTCAGATACCGCGTCGCTGATCGCCGCGACTAGTGCCAGCAGCGCAACGTTGAGCAGCGCTTCGGAGAGCAGCAGGCCCACCTTGACGTCCACCAGTGGGTCGAGTGCTGCCTCGAGTGCCGCGTTGCTGAGCAGCGCAACGTGCAGGAGCATCTCAACGTCGAGCACTGCGAGTACCGCGTCGTTGGCTACCGCGGCGGGTGCCAGTCTCGCGACGGGCACTATCATCTCAACGTGGAGCAGTACGCCCGCGAGCACCAGAGCGACCCTCGCGCCCATGTGTGGGACAAGCACTGTGTTGAGTGCCATGTCGCTGACCACTACGACGGGTGCCAGCAGCGCATCGTCGAGCTGCGCGTCGGAGATCAGTGTCTCGACCGTGACGCCCCCAAGGGGGGCGAGTACTACCCTCAATGCCACGTCGTTGACCACCGCGACATGCACTGGCACAGCGACGTCGAGCAGCACGCTTGAGAGCAGCAGCTCGACCCTGACCTTCTCGGGTGGGGCAAGCGCTGCCTCGAGTGCCACGACGCTGAGCAACGCGACGGATGCTACCGTCTCGACCTCGAGCAGCAGCACCTCGGAGAAGGCCAGCCTAATGTGACGTGTACCGGCGGCGCAAACACCGTCTCGACGACCATGTCGCTGGCCACCGCGACGGGTGCGATCCTCGCATCGTCGAACAGTGCGGACGGTAACATCATCAGCTCGTGGAATGACTATTGCATCGAGCACCTCGTCTCGGAATAGCCCGATGGGACTAGGCATCTCGACCTTGAGCAGCAGCGCGCCTGAGAGCGCCAGCTCTACCCTGATACCCTCGAGCGGCGCGAGCACCGTCTCAAGTACCATGTCCCCGACCACCGCGACGGGTACCAGCTGCGCATCGTCGAGCAGCACGGACGGGAACATCAGCTCTACATTGACGCCCATGTGTTGGATGACGACTGCATCGATTACCACGTCGCGGACCGCCACGACGGGTGCCAGCAGAGCATCGACCCTGACGACCACGAGTGGAAAGAGTACTGCCACGAGTACCACAAAGCGGAACCACGCCACGGGTGTTAGCATCGCAACATTTAGCAGCACGTCGGTGAGCACCAGCTCGACCCTGACGCCCATGTGCGGGACCAGAGTAATGTCTCGAGTGCCTTGTCGCTGACCACCGCGGCGGGTGCCAGCAGCGCATCGCTGAGCTGCGCGTCGGGGAGCAGTGACTCGACCCTGGCTTACGCGAGGGGGGCGAGTACTGCCCGCAGTACCACGTCGTTGACCAGTGCCTCGAGTATTGCGTCGCGGACCATCACGACGGGCACCAGCAGCGCACTTGTGAGCAGCGCGTCGGCGAGCACCAGCTCGACCCTGACGTGCTCCAGCGGGGCGAGCACTGCCTCGAGCACCGCGTCGCTGACCACCACGGCGGGTCCTGACGGCGCATCGTTGAGCAGCGCGCTTGGGGGCAGCACCGGACCCCGACGTGCAGGAGGGGGACAGGTACTGCCCCGAGTACCACGTCGCGGACCGCCACGACGTGTGCTGGCATCTCAACGTTGAGCAGCACGTTGAAGAACAGCAGCTCGACTCTAACGTCCATGGGCGGGAGAAGTGCTACCTCGAGTGCCACGTCGCTACTCGGCACGTCCTTGACCAGTAGCGCACCGCTGAGTAGCACGTCGGAGAGCACCCGGTCGACCCTGACGTGCATCAACGGGATGAGCACTGCTTCGAGTACCACGTCCCTGAGCAACGCGACGCACACTGGCACCCTGACGTCGAGCAACACGTTGGAGAGCAGCACGGCGGAAACCAAGTTTCAGCCTGCCTCATTGGCAACACAGAGGTCGAACAACCATGTCCTTAGAGATCTGGGCTTGTTTTTCGCATGAGGTCCTGGCAAGTTGTCAAAACAACGTACAAGGTTGTTTCTTTAGCGTGTCGAGTTCCCTTGTTGAACTGCCTTCTTCATAGTGGGCCACAAGCCCAATTTTGAACCCGTGGGTTGGACCCTACTCAACATCTCAATCGTGCGGTCTTTGAATCCCGCTCGATCCGGGCAGAACCTCGCCCAGAGTGGGAAACAGATGTGGGATCCTCCCTCGAGCCTCTCGGTTCCCCCTGCTCGGGAGAAAAAAAACGACATGGGTACGGAAAGAATTGGAGCGAAGGCCCACAGCAGTTCTTGTCCCTTCCGAACAGGATTCGCTGTCCGTGTCGCCACGAAATTGTCTACGTGAGACACTGACTCGCCTGCCCAACAGCGGCCGCCGTCAGTGTTGGACAGCATTTTGCCCGCCTGTTCCGCACAGTTAACCCGCATAGTAAGGATGAGCGACTTTCCAAGGTTACCCTTGCATCCTTCCCCTTCGGCCCATCCTTGGCCAGTTTCGCTGGCCGCGCTCCGTTCGCAAAGCGTCGACATGGCCTTCCAAGGCCCTTGCATCCTCATCTTATTCTACTGCTTGACTGTAGCTACTGCCGGGCATGCCAAGCCTTGATCTTCGGCCCCTCGGTCCTCGATCCGTCCTCCCCGAAGGTGCACGCCAACGACACGGCCAGCACGCTGCGCGCGCGCCTGGTCGCGGAGTGCGAGGCCGCCGCTCTCTCCCGCGCGGTGCAGCTGGTCGCCTCCGGATCCGTCGTGCTCAAGAGCGACGACGGCGGTTACTCCCTCGGCAGGAGCGCGGAGGGGGTCAGGGGGCGACCTGTCGGGCTCGAGGTTCGAGGTTCGAGGCTTCTGGGCGTGTCCGTCGATGGTGGGCGGTTGGCCAGCCTCGGGGTGCCTTCCAGAAGCTGCGCCTCGCCGAGAGCGTTCCAGGGATGCCCGGATCGTCCCGAACGCCCGCCAGAGAGCTGAGTCCTTAACCCGAGAGCCAGTTGCCGACGTGTGCGTTGCTCTCGAGTGTGAAGTGCCCTGCCTGGAACGGGGTCGGCGGATCTGAACGCCCAGGAGCAGAGAACTGATTGGGGCAAGGCCCCAACCGCCTTCGTCAGGAAGCCAAGCAAACCAGCGAGAACTGGTAGCTTTTTTAAGATTAAAAAACCAGGGGGTAACGCCAGGGGGGACAGGCCTTAGTGGGCCCCGGAAACGGCAGGGCAGTTTTTTTCACCGTTTCCGAAAAAGTGCCCCTTGAAAATGGAAACTGCAAAAAAAACGGCGACCAGAAAACGGCAACAAGAACGGCTCCAGGATTGGAACCAGAGCGGGAGACCCGCAAAAGAACGGCAAAACGGAACCGGTAACAAAAACGGCGCCGGAGCCGGCAGCAAAGACGGCAAAACGGAACCGGTTAAAAGAACGGCCCTGTCGTCTCCAGGGCCCACTGAGGGACAGGCTCAGGGGGGAGGCGTCGCCCCCGGGTCGCCCACTTCGTCGCCGAGAGGGGCCCGGGAGCCCGCCCCGCCCAGGAAAAGCGTGGTGGAGGCGCCCTCTCGGGGGCCCCTGTGGCCGATCTGCCGGCGACGCCTCGCCGATCGGGAGGGCTTCTCCGAAGGGCTTGTAGGCGACCCCTCCACAATCACACAATATGAGTACTGCTCTCCTCCATCCCCTGATGGCGTGCGGGAGATAGCGGGCACCCCTCCGCGCACTGTTTTTTTCACAGGATTTCCCGGAGTTGGGTTTTCGCTTGGTTTTTTTTTTCAAAATGATGCTCTCGCTGAGGCGCGGGCTTCATTTTCGGGCTTCCGCTCGTTCCGAATCGTGCTCCCGCTGCAGCGCTGGCCTCATTTCCGTGCTTCCGCTCGTTCCGAATCGTGCTCCCGCTGCAGCGCTGGCCTCATTTCCGCGCTTCCGCTCGTTCCGAATCGTGCTCCCGCTGCAGCGCTGGCGTCATTTTCCGTGCCATGCCACGGCATGCAATGCAATGGTAGGTTGCGTTCCGCTGCGCGATGCCATGCCTTCAGCTGCAGCTGTCAGAGTCATATCCAGTGCGTAAGTGCCACGTTATGCTATGCCATGCTACGCTTTGATCTTCAACGCCATGCTATGCAATGTTATGTTCGGGGCCGCTGTGCGATGCCATGCTTTGCGTTGCAAAGCTTTGGGATGCAATTCTTCACTACGCCACGCCACGCCATGCTGTAACATATTACGCTTTGCGGTGCTCTTCTACGCCATGCCATGCCGTGCTCTACAATGCATCGCGTACCCTTTCGGGATCATTGCCCTGCTCGACATCGGACTGTGCGAGTAGAGAGGGGATCTACGCCATGGTAAGGGATGGGAGGGAGGGGTAGGATGTCAGATATGACGCGAGCGCACCTAGCTTGTCCTCCCCCCCCTCCTCCTCCCCCTCCTCCTCCTCCTCCTCCTCCGCCTCCTCCTCCTCTCCTCCTCCTCTTTCCTCCACCTCCTTCTCGTCCTCCTCCTCCTTCTCCTCCCCTCTTTTCTGCTCCTCCTCCTCTTTCCTGCTTCTCCCCTCCCCCTCCTCCCCTCCACTCCTCCTCCTCCTCCTCCTCCTCCTCCTCCTCCTCCTCCTCCTCCTCCTCCTCCTCCTCCTCCTCCTCCTCCTCCTCCTCCTCCTCCTCCTCCTCCCCCTCCCCCTCCACCTCCTCCTCCTCCTGCTCCTCGGGTCGCCTACGGCACCGGGGGAAACCGTGCACGCCGATCCCAGCTCCAAGGCGTCCCCCCCGTGGTCCCCCCCGGTATAGCGTTGCCATTCGGGGGAGGGGCGGGGGGATGGTGCACGGGCAGGGGCAGGGGGAAGGGGTCACGAGGAAGGGGATGAGGAAGGGTAGGGCGGGGAGGAGAAGGTGGAGGAGGATGATGAGGAGGGAAGCTAAACGGCTTCTAGAGGGCGGCCTCTGATGCCAGGGTGTCAGGGAGTACTGAACTCGTACGCATGTCAGTGCCTGCATGATCTGCTTCGCAGGGTTCTACTTTCGGAGGGAGCATAGAGAAGTGGGAAGGAGGATGAGGAGCAGGAGGAGGATCACGGGGAGGGTGGAGGGAACGAGGCGCAGGAGATGTTACAGGTGGGGGGTGGATGCCGAGGGTGGTGGGGGCGGGGAGGAGGAGGAGGAGGAGGACAAGCAGGAGCTGGAGAGCAGGAGGAGGAGAATGGCCGACTCGGGAGGACTACAGGCGGACCGAGGCATAAGATCGAGGTCGGTTCGGGGAGGGTGCTCTCATGTTCTTCGTGCTTGTTGGATGTTATTGTGCATCCTGGGATGCTCTGTTTGCTTCGGCCGACGGAGGGTCTCATGTTCTTGAGGGATGTTCTTCTGGCCGAGGTCCGAGTGTAGGGAGATGGAGGGACGAGTTAGAAGGACGCAGAAAGGAGGAACACTACAGGGAAAAGGACGATGATGACCAGCCCTTTGTGATAGGGTGAGCTAATGCTTCTTGTGTATCAGAAAGTATGTTGAGCTAATGGTTGAGGCTTCGTGCGTCCCCACCAGCCAGCCCACCCATGGACAATCCCCAGGCGTTATGCCTTGACCAGTGACTTGTAGGGACAGTCAGCGACACAAAGCGTGGGACACCACCCTCTCACCTGCACACTCCTCGCTGGCATCTTCTTCGATAAGCTGCGAGGTCTTCCGTAGGAGCGCCGCGACGGTCCTCATGTTTGAATCCTGAGTCTTTCGTGGCAGCGACCGCTGATCACGCTGATCACGCTGTGACATCACGCTGATCACGCTGTGACGCGCACTTTGTAGCCCGCGGGCGGCACCACGCTGTGACGCCGCGCAGTGCAGCCCGCGGCGGCGACACCACACTGAGACGCCGCGCTGCGTGGCCGAAGGCGTCGGCCACGTTTTCCAGCCAGCGGCAGTGGCACCCACGCTGTGCAGCCCGCGGCGGCGACACCACGCTGTGACACCCACGGGGGGCCACGCAGCGTGGTGTTACGGCGCGGTGTCGCCGCCGCTTGTGGGTTGCAAGCTGCACAGCGTGGCGCGCTGCGGGCTACACAACGTGGTGTCACAGCATGGTTTCGCCGCCGCGGGCACGATCCGCGTGATGGGGTGCGCCGCCCTCTGGTGCAGTAGTGTGATATTCCTGTGGGCCACGATCCGTGTGAGTGGTGTGCCGAATTAGGCGGGGGGTCGGGATGCGAACCTTGTCTCTGGGGCCGTCCGTGGAACTCGTTGCGGGCCACGATCCGTGTGAGAGGTGTGCCGAAGTGAGCGGGGCGACGCTACGAAGCTCCCCTCTGGTGCCCCAGATGCAGTTACCTCCGGGGCACGACCCGCGCGATGGGCGTGCCACAATGCGGACCTTGTCTCTGGGGACGTCGGTGAAGCTCCTTGCGGGGTGCGATCCCTGTAAGGGGTGTGCCGACATGGGCGGGGAGACGCTAAGCCAAGCTTGTTTCTGGGACCGCAGGTGGGGCTCCCTGAGGGGTACGATTCGTGTGAAGAGATATATCTACACATATATATATATATGTATCCTCCGATGCCGAACGCTTAGACTACAATTCTTTACGCGTCGCGTATCCCCACCAGCCCATCTCACAGCAGCAACTCTCGCGAAGCATGCCGACAGTCGTGTTTTTCAGGCGTGTGTCCGCGTGGCCCCGCGTATCTCCCCTGTTCCTCCTTCCTCCCGCCTCCTTGTACATCCTCCGTGTGAGGGGAGCGGGAGAAGGACGAGGCGGAGGAGGAGGGAGAGAACGCGCTCCTCGTGATTTGAGTCGTTTGGGGTTTCTCGTCCTGGTGTGAGTCGTTCGGGCCCTTCTTCCTGGTGTGAGTCGTTCGGGCTCTTCGTGGTGTGAGTCGTTCGGGCTCTTCGTCCTGGTGTGAGTCGTTCGGGCTTCTCGTGGTGTGAGTTGTTCGGGCCCCTCATCCTGGTGTGAGTCGTTCGGGCCCCTCCTCCTGGTGTGACTCGTTCGGGCTCCTCGTGGTGTGAGTCGTTCGGGGCCCGCGTCGTGGTGTGAGTCCTTCGGGCTCCTCGTGGTGTGAGTCGTTCGGGCGCCTCGTCCTGGTGTGAGTCGTTCGGGCCCCTCCTTGTGGTGTGAGTCGTTCGGGCTCTTCGTGGTGTGAGTCGTTCGGGCCCCTCGTCCTGGTGTGAGTCGTTCGGGCTCCTCGTGGGGCCTCTTGGGGGCCTCTTGGAGCCTCGTGGGGCCTCTTGGGGGCCTCTTGGGGGCCTCTTGGGGGCCTCTTGGGGGCCTCTTGGGGCCTCGTAGGGCCTCTTGGGGGCCTCTTGGGGGCCTCTTGGGGGCCTCTTGGGGCCTCGGGGCCTCTTGGGGGCCTCTTGGGGGCCTCTCTCGGGCCTCTGGGGGGCCTCTTGGAGGCCTCTTGGGAGCCTCCTGGGGGCCTCTTGGG